TTTTTTTTTTTTTTAATTTCATTAGGAAAAAGAATCGAGGACATCTGAACTAATTTATGCAAACGAGGAACCTACTATTCGATCCTTTCATAATTTGGCCAGTTATGGTTCTAGCAATGGTGACGTTGCTCTTCCAGATTATACCTATATCGAATACGATAGTATGAAATATAAAGATAATAAAAAAAATAATTAAATAAAATTATAGCTTTAATGAGAATCAATTAATATAAAAATATCATTTCAAGATCAAAAATAAAACTTGCAATATATTTACATAAAATTTGTTATATAATATTTACTATCTCTTCATTTATTTTTTTTTTAAATGATAAAAAGAAGTAGAAGTATTTAATAATCTTTCAATATATATCAAATCATTTAGCAAGCAAGAACAGAGATCTTTGAAAAAACGATGATTGTTCTAATTCAATCGAATTGCATGTTCTTGCGCCACGAAATAAGATCTCCAGATTTCTATTTCTATTAAATGCATCTATCAACAATAAATTATTCTATGGGAAAATAAAATCATTATTTCATTATATCTTATAATTTTCTCATATATCGAAATATTTGTATATAATTATATATATTTTTTACAATTATAATTGCATTTCCATAATTGAATGTAAAATACATATCTACATGATTAATTTGTTCGAAAATTATACTTCGAAAAAATAATAAGTTCATCTAGATTAATATAGACATTTCATTTATAAAAAATAAAAATGCTAAAAAGATAAAAAAAAAGAAACTTCTAACCTATAAAACTCAAAAGTATGATAAATACAACAAATTTATCATTCAAAGTTCCTTTTAAAATAATTTTTGATTAAAGAATAATATATATTATAAATATTTGTATATTAATTTTTTTTAATTTGGATTTATAAAAACGAAATCATACGAATATTCATTTTTTTTTAAAATTGAAACTTCAAATTAAAAGATTCTATTATATTGACTTACTTTAATACGTGGAATCATTTTCTCTTTGATTATATCAATTGTATTTGCAGCAAATTTCTTCTTCTTTAATGATTAATATATATGTGAACACACTTAATAATAAAATAAAATTTAATAAATAATATTAACTTGTCAAATCGAACTCTACAGATGCGACATCTTCATATACTAACGATAATCTGATGTACTATTATATGAAATAATCGATATCAATCGATTGAAAGTTTGTTAAAAGTTCAGAAATGAAACACGAAATAGAGGTAAGAAAATCTTATATAAATGAAGGAATATATTTTCAAACTATTATTAATTCCCTATCATTTTCCATATTATACATCCGTAAATACGGAAATTACTTTCTTTTAGACTGTTGTCATTACATTTCAAAAACACGATCTAACCTAAATTTATTTGCGTGATCGAATGTATTTCCAGATAATTATTATCGCAAATAAAAATTTTTTATAGTGCATCAATTAAACGAATAATATTTTGTGATTTTCTAAAAATATATTAATATTTATTCATTTAAATATATTTATATTGTTAATGAAAATTGTGACATAATAATATCTAATATTTTTTAAATTATTGAATTATTAATTGAATTGTAATTGAAATTTCAATTAATTTAAAATTAATTACTTACTTCATGCATAATATATAATAATAAAAAAATAATGATTTTTAAAGAAAATTTGAATATTTTTTTCATTTTTATAAAAACAGAATATTATGATTATGAACCAGAGCATAAAGAAAATCTCAAACATTTAATCTCTAATACTAAAAAATTATCAGATATATATATAGAAGATATTCACAAGTAACAATAGATATTATATCATATATTAATCAATAAAGAAAAGAAATATCCAATTAATATAATAAAAGAATTAATCTTTTATTATCATCTTTTTCGATTCCCAGCAACAACGATGAGATGGTACAGCCGCGCAGATCATTTCCATAAACTGGTACCCATAGCAGAAGGGAAGGCAAGAAAGTGGTGGAAGTTGTCGAATATTACAACCTGGATGGAGAATGGTACCAGGTTAGTCTGGTGTTGATCGTGGCACCGTGAACCACGATCTTATTTCTTCCACGCGTATCGTGGACATAAACACGTTAAGGATTCTCGATGTCGCAAGTGTGAAACTCAATACGAGAGGATATAAAGACAATTTTTCAGAAGTAAGTCTCCATTTAATTTCATTTAATTCATTTATTAATAATTTCATTTATTAATGAATATTAATTATGTGAAATTAGAAATCAAACTTTTTTTTTATTTTCTGAGTTTTAAAAAAAAGACTATAATGTGATTAAGTTTAAAAAGCAAAAAAAAACCTTTTTTAAAATTTTAACCTTAAATTTTCTCGTATGAGATATAATTTTCAAAAAATCACAAATCCAATTTGATTTTAATTAAATTCTTTAATACTATATTATAATTATAATAAATATATATTATTAATGCATATAAATTAATATGACTATAAGCAATCAATAAAAAATTTACAAATAACATGTCTAAATATTAATATAAATTACATATTAATTCGATATTGATTTTAATTTATATATTTGATTGATTTATATATTTCTTTCATCTGATATCTTGAAACAATCTAAAATCTCAAATATTATGAAATCAAAGAGAGGAATTTACAAAGAGTTTGCGAAATGAGGATTTGGTGAAAAGACTTCGTTAAAATATTAAATTTTGTCCACAGCTATTCGCCTTCAAACGATTGTTCTTGCCGGAAGATAGCAGACAGTTTCGTCTTTAAAAACGGAACGTCGCAAGACGAGTTAATTATAATCGCGATTTCCGTTCTTTCACGTTTTTTCGTCGAACAATACTCTGTACCGGCGAAATGAAGTCACGTGAATTGTGTAACAACGAAAATACGGCAAGAGAAGATAATCAGCTGGAATTCGTGTATCTGAAGTTTGAATCTAATTATGTATGTACGGGTATGTGAAACATCTACGAAGAAAATCAGGATAAAATTACGTATTTCGAATTGAGCAAATCGAAGGCAACTTTTGAGAATACTCTCAGTGAATTCCTATTATCTAATAATTTAATCCTTTTGTTTAAATTGAGATTGAGATTGAGATTCTTTTTTATAACGATAATTTATTTTTAACTATATTAAAAATATTTATTCAAGTTTATTTAAATTTTTTTATAAGTAAAGGATTCATTAATAGAAAAAATAGAGGAATAAACTTATAATAATATTTCAATTTCATATTCAAAATGTAATTAAGAAAATTCGTAATTCACAATTTTATAATCTAAGACAAGTATTACTAATAACATTCTTCTAAAAAATTAAAGTCTTCACTCTTTTATCACCAATATTTGAGACTTTCTAATGTCTTGAATTCTTTTTATGTATAATTCTTATTCTTTTTTAATTTATAATAATTTATATGATAATATACTAATATAATTTATATAGTAATAATATAATTATATAGTGATAATTAGTAATAAATATATTTGTATAAAATGAAATGATTTTTAAATTTAGTTTTATCAATATTAATATATATTTAGAGAAATAAAGGTATAATTAATGTAACAAATTAAGCTTGCATGCTTTTAATGATATTAAATTATTAAATAAACCGTTAATTGAAGAGATTTATCTTATTCTAAATTTGTGAGTTTTTGTATTCTCAACTTACATAATTGCAATAACATAAATTATTGTACAAGATTTCTGATGAGGATATATTATCTGTAAAATAAAAACAGATTGTAATAAATCAATTGATCCTTAATAAACCAGATTGAAAAAAATATTTGAAGAAGGACATTCAATAATTAATAAGATTTCAATTTTCAAATCATTAAAATTTGGAATCTCAAGTCTCAAATCTCGACATTTGAAACTCAAATTTCAAATATAGATTTCTGTTTAAATCGAATTCCATAAAAAAGTATATAACATTCATCATATTATGAAGTTTCACATGTGTGAATTAAGATAAAAAGTTTCAATAGATTTCTTCGTGTATCTCGTAATAATGCCAGTATTATCGACTCCGCGTCGCGATATACCTTGGCATTAAGAATCATGGAATCATTCTACCTTTCCCTTGAAATGTTCCCACTAGGTTCATCGTACTACTTATCTTACATTCTCTCTGACTGATCGTATAAAAATAGTACTTCATTTTTCCTTATTCTTCTTTTTTTTTGTTTTTTATTAACAGTATAATATTAACAAATAATAATGGAAAAAATGTATAATCAATTGAAGTTCAATATTCTACTAAATATTCAGTAGATTATTTATTAATTGAAAACCTGTTATAGGCTATCATCATTCATGAATATGTATGAACTTGTTATTCGTGTTACTTCTCTATTTCGACCAATTTCGATGATTGAATTTTGATTCTCATTTGGTTCTCTTTTTCATTATTTAATGAGATTTATTTTCATGATTATTTTACAAATATCAAAACAGAGAGAGATATTTCAAAAATTATTTTTATTTAAATTCTTGATGCATCGTAGAAAAATTAACATTAAATAATTTTTTAATTTAATTTGTAACAATTTTTAGGTTAATTTAGATGCTAGAAATAAGTATTCTTGATATTGCATAAATTTTGATTGATATACACAACGATCTGTTATAAAGTGCAAAATGTTACGAGACACAAATACTTGAGAGTGTGATTTTATTGCGTGACAATCATGTAAGTATACATACGCAATAATTGGCAGTAAAACATAGTAAGAGATCGAAAGAAAGATCGTTGGCAATTTATACATTCGAACCCGATGACGCAATCTCAGTAGCCGAGGACACAATATTTAAATCATTGACCAGAGATCAAATTGCATTAGTCATTTGTCATATTATGATGAAGAAAATCACTTTTTCAAACAATTATTAATTTCACAATCTTAATGTCTTTTTATGCATAACAATGCGAAGAATCATTTTAGGGAAAAAAGGAAAAATTCCTAAAAATAATTATAGGGAAAATTTGCAATTTAGGGAAAATAACAATCTTTCTAGATTTTTATAGTAAAAAACAAATATAATTATATATGAGCTTTGTTAATTATAATTCTAAAAAAAGATTCTTAAACTAACAAAAATTGTTAGAACAAAATTTTATTTTTCAATTTTATTTTTATTTAAAAAATAAAAATTCTCATTATTTATATCTTATCCATTTATATCTACACAATTAAACGGCAATTATCTTTTTATGAAAAGATAAAATTAAAGATAAAATTAAGATGAAAAATAAAGAATGATTGAAAATAAATTGATGTAATATTAAGTAGTAAAAATTGCTTTATTTATGAACAAAGGAATAAAATGATTATTTCATATCATTTCATTAATATTACGACATGTGAAGTCATACATAATTTACAATTCAGATATTTTTTTCTTTTGTCAGAAAGATCACTGAAGAAAGTGTGGGACGCTTCCTCGTTTCCTTTACCACGATTCCATACATTTATGAATGATGTAAATTATAACTGATACAATTTTATTTTCCAACGATCAAGAGAACACGAATGAACTTTCAAGAAAATAAACAATTGGGAAATTCCTTATTTAATTAGAATAAAAGTCTTATTATTGAAAAACAACTATTTTCTTATTGTTGTTTAAAATTGAAGACATATTCTATATATAAAATAAATAATAATCATATCAATCTAAAAACTTTACAATCTTTTCAATATTTTTAGAAATCTTAAAAAAAATTAGGGATAATTATATTCAATTTTATTTCCATTAATCCAATTACTTTCTATCACTAATATATTTATTTAAAATATATAATATTTTCTTTAAAATATTTTTTTCGTCAAAACAAAGTTCATTTAAAAGTGAAATTTTACGCATGCTCGAAAGAATTCAAGATGATAATCTAGGTGGCACCAGTTGTGTAGTTTATATAACCTCATGTAACATCATAAAACTATCTATGAAACAAATTAATCCTTATATGTAATAAAAATCCACACGTGCGTCACATATCCGAAACACGTTACATCGTCACCTGAACATGTTACACACGTTTATATCGTTACAATAAAATACATTCTCGGTCGAGGACAAAATTCATTATTCCATCGATGACACGCCATGCTGCAATTAGACTGTACGTTGTTAATATTTATGATGGATCACTCTGTAAAAAATTAGGAAAACAGAGAAAAAAAGAAGCTAGTAGAACTGCGTGACTTTCATAATCGACACGGTTCTCGGTCAGTGAACGTAAGATGTTGAAGATGTGCATATACGATTACGCACCTTCGTAGTGGCGATGTCCTTTCATAATATAGTAAAACTCTCATCTGATGTGATGCGAATAAAAT